CGTAGTCTTCCGTCAGCTTCCGTCGTCTTCCCGTAGTCTTCCGTCATCTTCGTGCAGCCCCGCACTCTTCTAGTCTTATCTTCTCCTTGTCTTCCGTCGTCTCCCGCAGTCTTCCGTCATCTTCCCGTAGTCTTCTGTCAGCTTCCCGTCATCTTCCCGTAGTCTTCCGTCATCTTCCTAGTCTTTCATCATCATCATCATCCATCCTCACGGTTAAAGGTTAAAGTTAGAGGTTAGGGTTAGAGGTTAGGGTTAGAGGTTAGGGTTAGAGGTTAGGGTTAGAGGTTAGGGTTAGGTTAGGGTTAGAGGTTAGGGTTAGAGGTTAGGGTTAGAGGTTAGGGTTAGAGGTTAGGGTTAGAGGTTAGGGTTAGAGGTTAGGGTTAGAGGTTGGGGTTAGAGGTTAGGGTTAGAGGTTAGGGTTAGAGGTTAGGGTTAGAGGTTAGGGTTAGAGGTTAGGTTAGAGGTTAGGGTTAGAGGTTAGGGTTAGAGGTTAGGGTTAGAGGTTAGGGTTAGAGGTTAGGGTTAGAGGTTAGGGTTAGAGGTTAGGGTTAGAGGTTAGGGTTAGAGGTTAGGCGTGTCAAAAATCCGCTGCGGGACCCCCCCTCCCCCCCTCAGACTCCCCCTAACCACCACTTAGAACACGCCTCGCCCCTTTGCAGAGACTAACTTTGCTTTTGCAAAGGGGTCGGCGGATTTAGGAGGGACACTCACTTTCCCTTGTCCTCTTGGGGAAGCAAGCTTCTTTCACCGAGGCTCATATGGGCAGGCATGATTCAGCGGAGAGTCACTTGTTGAAATCAACTACGAGGAGGGCCCATCATGGTGAGAAAAGGTCACAACATCCTGGCTCACAAGCCTAGTGTCCGTTCAGAGAGTCAGTGCTGTTTAGCGAGCTAAGTACATCAACACGCTCAGCAAGGGTATCGAACACCTTGGCACCATAACATATTTGTCAACATCGACCCCTACAAGTTGCTGTTCTGGGGCCAGGCAAGTTTTCGGAGGGGTGGGGGTTCGGGATCATGGTTTGCAAATGTCAGGGGCTTGCCAGTCTGGCCGGGGTCTACCACTTTCGGTCACAATTTAATTTCGGGGGAACTGGGCTTTGAACATATGAGACCATTATGAAAGCATGGCACCTGCGCTCCAGAAGCGCCTCCCAGAAGCTGGAAACGTCAGGGGTCGTCTGTGTACTATTTGAGGTTTGTCGTCTGTGTACTATTTGCGGTTTTTCAAAAACAAAAACAGCTATCTGGCAGAGTCACTGGGCATCGCGCAGGGTGGGGGCGTTGTGGGGGATAGTTGCGTTCACGACAGACTGCGGAACATATGGTTGAAGGTCTTACACATGAGATCCCTTGTTGCAGAAACCACGGCTAAGAGTAGATCGTTGGGGCTGCGAGCGTAGTTAGTCGGGCCCCGATAGCTCTTTTTTTTAATTATGTGCACTGGCTCATGTTATGCTCCTTTGTATGGCTGGCGTTGGCTGCGCAAAGCAACTTCCTGCCCTTGGTTGCCTTATTTCACAGCATAGTTCGGGAACCAGCAATGTTGCTCCACTTATTTGATTCCGAAGAAGCCCCCGACGTACACGTAACGGGAACAAAAAGGCATGGTCGCCTGGAATCAACGGTTGGTTCAACCCTGGGTCTAGCCATTAGCGCATGTATCCCACATCCTCAGTGTCAGCCGCGCTCCATTGCTAGGGCTATTCGCACTTTCCGGGTTGCCGAAGCACAGCCGAAAGCAATGCGTTGTAGAGGCCAACCGGAAGCCACGAAACCCGCCACGTTCGAAGACGGCTTTTCCAAATCCGTTGGAAACTGGTTTTTCGCGCAGAGGTGACTCACGCGCATGTGACCTCATAGAAACCAGCAAGCCAGGAATCTGTACTGGAAATGGGTCAAATACCCACCAAGACCAATGGATTTCCTGTAGAATTTGCTGTAGGATTTCTGCGCCAGAATGCTCCACGGTCGCTTCTCGAAACGAGTTGCCAGGCTTTGGATCAGCGTTGCTGGCTTGTGCCTATTCGGTTGCTGCCTGGTGACCGCGGATTGGCAGAGGCGCGAGAATGGGCGGGACCCGGATGTGCCGACAGTTTTCGAGCTGGGGAATGAGACGTGTTGAATTGGAAATGACGTGTGCACTTCAAGTGCACTGCGAGGTTTCTCCTTTCCAAGCTTTTGACCTTGCTCACCAGCGTATGTATTTATCTGTCTACTTACCTATCTAGATGTCTATCTATCTATCTGTTTGTCTGTCTGTCTGTCTGTGTATGTATATGCATACATTATTTGAACTTTCCAGCGCACCAGCGGGAGAAGTCGCCGCATGCAGGTTTTGGCTGAAGGAGCTGCCCTTTCGGAAGCTCAATTGCCCTTGTACTGGCCAAGATTGAAATGTGCTCAAACGATTTGGCTTGAGCCACGTTAGAAACATGTACAAAGCAGCCACAGGTATTTTTTGTGTGATGGTCATTGTGATAGTCTTGTGGGGGAAATGGAATTGGGCTGACCCACGCCCAGTTGTACTGATTGGTCTGCGGACCCTTGCGGTCAGAGTCTTGCCCAGTCGCTCCCGTCGCACAGGGCGGGATTGCTGGAGGCCATCAGAAAGGACACGGCGCATGTGATTGCCAGTGATGTGATGTTCTCGTGTTTGGACGATGGGGGTGGACATCAGTCGTCCGGGCCGAAACAAATCTGCCCTTTGGTGAGGGCATTGAGCCTGTTTTGAGCTGTTTTTTGTCGAAAAGAGCCAGCTTTAGCTGTGCATTGGATCTTTAACAGACAAGTTGCAGTGACAGTATCCTTGCGGCAGGAAGAGGAGGGGGGAAATGAGCCAGATGAGGCGCGAGGGTGGATCCTTCAAGCATATCTTACTCCATCCTGCTTGCCAAAGGAAAATGTGGAGTAGATGCACATGACTAGCATGAAGCCAGAAAGCCATCGAGTGGCGAATCGCGCGGGTACCCTACCTAGATTGAGGGGATGGGCAGCTTCTTTGGACCCACGACGCTTCTGATGCACTGAGATATGACGACTTTGCGAGTGTTTCGTGCGCCGTGAGGATTCCTTGTAATGCATGCTAACCGTAGACCCCCTAAGCACATGGTGTGGCCCTGCTGATCACCTCTTCGCTTGCGGAGGTTGAGGCTCACAAGACGTGGTACGGCCTTAGGTGGAGAGAGAGTTTGGGACCCAAAGCTGCACGCCATGCCAGGACCCGCCAACTGACGAGAAGCCTCCAGAGCCTCCAGAGCTGCAAGAGCCGATAGAGGCGGGGATGTTCGCATTGTTGCACGGCAGATTCATGGTGCAGTCGTGAGTCGCAGTGTAGCTAAACCAATGGCGTCACAGAGAGAGAGAGAGAGAGAGAGAGAGAGAGAGAGAGAGAGAGAGAGAGAGAGAGAGAGAGAGGGGGGAGAGGATAGAGAGAGTCGAGGCTCGCCTGCCAGTGCCCCTGAGAAAGGGGTGTGTGTGTGGGCACTCGACCCGGGTTGCCTAGGAGAAGCACTCGCACATCTGAGCCTGGCCCGAGTCGGCCTCCGAAGCGCCAATGTAGCGGACCCGCCCTGTGCCATGTGAGGTGTCCGCCTTCAAGATGCGCATTTGTTTAAATAGAGCTGTTTTTTTGGATGGTACCCCCCCATTTTTGTGGTTTGGAAGGCAAGCCAATCCAAGACAAGTCACAACCGCATGAAGGTTAGGTTGCACAATGAGCAGTGAGAGTCAACCCCCATCAAAGATTGCTCACTCTCGCTGGATGCCAAAGGCAATAGTCCAGCAGCTTCAAGGGGTTGGAACATTTGCTTTGCCGGACTCTTTTTCGTGACTAAAAGGATGGATGACATCGGTGGCGGCGTCAGTGACGTTCCAACCTCGTGCTCAGCCACTCGGCTGCTTCAGACAAGCTGAAGATCTGGCCGTTGAGCTTCAACGAGTCACCAAGGGCTTGCTCTTTGGGGAAAACGGCACCGGTGTGGGAAGATTCGCTCTTTGTCAATAAATGGACGGGTCCTTTTCTTTGGGACCCACACAAATGGTGGTTGTCCTTTTGGTTTCCCTTTATAACCAAGCAACAGTGGGTGCCCACCAAAAAAACACACACAGACACACACACACACAGACACACACACACACACACCCAAATGGCGAGCAAACCGTATCTAGTGCATGCACTGTTTTGATGCTGAGTTAGCACATACACAAACTACTCACAAAGCACTTCCCAACAAATTCGCATCCAGGAATAGATTGTTGCTTGCCATCAGAATGGCTTCCCCAGCGTTCTTGTGTTTTCATCGTTTTTGCCAGAAGTCAAGCTCCAAACCATGCCGTGATACATGCGAAAACTGAGGGGGTCTTTTCCTATTCGATGACGCGAGAGCACTCCTGCGCTGTGGCCTCTGGGAAGAAAGCAACGGAGAGCCACGGCCATCCTGTCGAGGGAAATCAGACACACACACACACACAAACAGTCTTTGATCTTCAGGTGTGGCATTCTGGCGTTCAGAGGGGTCATGCGGTCTTTTCCGCCAGGATTCGCTACTTGAGACGGCTCTGCCAATTGTATTGATGGGTGAAACTCGGCATACTTGGATAGAACAGGTGCTGAGCTCGGCATGGGTTGACTGCCAGCAGTCTGCTTGAGTCGCAGAGGCTGACCGTCGGGTTGCACAGCAGCTGAGGATTGACATAAAACTGAAGCGGCACGCGTGGGATATCCATGAACACTTTTCAGTCTTGGGCAGCTTCTGCGTCAGTGTCCTCCCTGTCTACTTCAATCCACATGTTGGGTTGATTTTAGACGAAGCAAATGGCAACCTCGCGAGACGGGTAAAGCATGGTCATGGTCAGTGTTTTCTGTTAAATGAGGTTCCAGTCTCGGGAATCCAAACCCTAGGCTGGTAAGTTCTTGCAAGTTCTTAGTTTTACCCACAGAAACAACCCCAAGCATTGGCAAGTCAAAGAAAGTTGATAGCTAAGCCCCCTTTCTGAGCTGCCTCGCCTAAGCGCATGAGCCGAATGATATGAACCTGCGGCTTGCCATGGCTTCGCTGGTGCCCTCTTCACCACCCGCTCGCCAGGCTCAGCTGAGGGAAGGGAAGGGTTGCCCTGTGAGGAATTCCCCTCCCGACTGACATGGTTTGGTGCACAGACCCCTGGAAAGGGGCTTTGTCCACTTCCATGTCAGTTGGTCGGAGGGTACATGATAATGTGACATTGAAATTGCAAATGTTGGCTTGGTTGCAGGTGCGTCTCCGCGTCTTTTGTTGTGTCGCTTTCTGTGTGCCAGGCTCCGCTTTTCCATTTTGCTCACCATACTTTGCTTCCTTGTTCTGCTGGAAACGTCAGGTTTGTCCGTCAATTCCCATTTGCCCACAACCAGCCTCCCACAGGCTCACGATTTCCTAATTTTCTAGAAGTCCAGTGCAAAACAAGTGACGCGTCTGACTTGCTCAATTTTTCTCAAACGCCAAACCAACATCACCTGAATCCAAAACCATGGGCAGGGGCATCCGAACGGAACCCATGTGTTGAAGTTGAAGCCCAATTCTCGCGGGTCACCCAAAATGGAGCCAGGGCTCCGCCCCAAGACGGTGTTCGTTTGCGGTTCTCAGGCAGCGGTGCTGGTGCAGCGGAGGTGGCGACGCCACCCCAAGGGCGGCATCCATGGCCCGCAGTTTCACCGCTTCCCCACCGAGGCGCGGGGGGCCGCTTTTTTTTGTTTTTTTTCCTTTTCTTTTTGTTTTTTTCTTTTTGCGAGTTCGAGCCGGTGCTCTAGGTGCTGGGTGCTTTTTCCGGCGCGCTCAAGGTGCTGTGGTGGTTGCTGGCATCTTCTGCAAGGCAGCGGGTCAGGGTTCTGTTTAGTGACTTTAGTGTGCTCAAGGTGGCACTGTGGTTGCAGGCGGTGCTTGTTTGACGTTTCAGTCAGGTGCTGGTCAGGGTGTTAGACATGGTAAGGGTGCTGCTTGGTGCGCTGGTGTGCTCAAGGTGCGGCGCCAGTTGCTGGCGGAGCTTGTTTGAAGCTGCAGTCAGGGTGCTGGTGCAGTTGTAATCTCCCATACTATCTTGGGTCTATGATGGTCCAATCATTGTGTTGTTCGCCTTTTTGCTTGTTTGCTTTTTTGCTTGTGTCTGCTTGTCTGCCTACCTTCCTGGCTGTCTGTCTGTCTATTTGTCTGTCTATCTATCTATCTATCTTTCCATCTATCTTTCCTGCTATTTATCTATCTATCTTTCCTGCCTGCCTGCCTGCCTGGCCTTGCCCAGCCTGGCTGCCTGCCCTCGCCTGCCTGGCTGTTTGACTGTCTGGCTGCCTTGCTGTCTTTCTGTTTGTCTGTCTGTCTGGCTGGCTGGATGGCTGTTTGGCCGTTTGGCTGTTTGTCTCTGCCTGGTTGTCCGTTTGTCTGGCTGTCTGTCTGGCTGGCTGGCTGTCTGTCTGGCTGGCCGTCTGTCTGGGTGGTGTGTATGTGTCTTGCTGTTTGGCTGGCTGGATCCAGTAAGCTACACGGAAGTTGCCTGTTCTTGGTGGCAGTTCGCATCTGTCAGCTGGGCCCAGCTTGCCTATGGAGGGTCATTGTTTCAAACAAGGTGCCATTTCGGCCGCCAAGCCAAAATGAGAGCTCGGCGTGCCTGGCACGCCTGTTTAGGAATGACTCAATTGCCTTCTTTGCATGAGTGGTTTCTTTTGCCGCACTGCGAATAGTGACCAGGGGGTCAGATCAACACGGATCTGATCACGATTTGGGACCGGTATGTCTTGCTTGAAAGTGACAAGAAGCGGCGACCCCAAGCATGATTGATTGAATGGGCAAACATTGACTTGCTTGCTGCAGTGATTCTGCCCAGGCCCAGGTGGAAGTATTCAACCCGCTCATGGCTTCGATTGGATGGACCCATATCTTGTTTGGCGAAGAGGGCATGGCCCATTGCTGCAATTTTGGTCGGGCAGCTTTTGGTTGGGCTCTTCACATCGGGACGGGGAGGTCCGGGCCAGCCGGGCCAGCCGGGCAGGTGAAGATGAATTGGCCCCCAAAGGACTGGGCTGACAGGGAAGCACGGCAGTGCTTTCCATGGGCGATAGGCCAAGGATGTCATGGGGACAGAACGGCGACCCACCCCGTCACTCAGATGGCTATGAGTTTTAATAAGGGGCCCTTTGGTGGACATCATGTAGGTGGGGATTCATGTCCATCACTTTTGAGGTGGCTCCCTAGTAAGATTCATGGCCATGAGCTTGGGACTGCTCTTTGCACTCGCGCCTTCCGGTGCTGCGAGGACCGGAGCAAGCTCTTTCTCCTGCCGGACTCCAAGCGTCTACTCTGCGTGGCGAAGGGCTGGTGCGCCTTCGCGGATTCGGACACCGGCGAGTCAGGGACTCAATCTGGCTGGGTGTAAAACCAAGCACTCGTTTGGAGACGCAGAAGCAACATGAACTATCCATGTTTCTAGGTTTCCTGCCTGTTTTCCCTGATGCTTTGGATTCAGTTTGCGAGACGGATCGGCAGAACCTCGGGACATATCTTCACTATTCCAATGACTCAGAGTCGAGTGACCAGCCTTGCAGGCTGCCAGTTTTGTGGCGGCTTGTTCTCTTTGGTGCTTTTTTCTTTCACACCCTCGCTTCTTCGGAACTTTTTCAATCCAAACACAACAGAGGCAGGGGAAGACTCAACAAAAAGAGGGCGCTCGAGTGAGGCACGCCTCGTTGCTTCGCGCTAGGTACTACCCCGATGGCATCACCGGCCGCGACAAGAAGGCCCTGGTCGCCCAAATCGACCTGTTGGTTGCCCTCGAATGCGTGTCTTACCGACGCTTAAGTGCGCCAGGTTCGCAACACCTTTCAGAGGTCCAAATCATATTGATTGTAAGACACATAAATTAGAGACCACAAAAAACAAATGCAACACTGCAACAAGACAAGTGAGACACAAAAGTTTTACAGGAGCTTAAGTTAGAGGCTCCAGCTATTCATGGCGCAATTTTGCAAATGATTTGGCAGCCAAAGGACATACTTTTGGATTCGACCATCTTTTCTTTTTTCTCAGATTGGCCATAGGTGTCACACATCACATAGATGCGAGTCTTCAGAAATGCGCCCAAGTGTTTGTTCCACGAGGGGCGTGAAAATGACAGCCGTTTTTCCACACTCAAAGAATCGGTGCTGGTGTCCCGGTAGCCTGAAGCCTGGAAAAAGCCGAAGGTCGAAGGTAGGAAGCGCAATCTGTTCGTTCTCCTACCAAAAAAAGCGCCGCTGGAGCCATCTCTTCTGAAGCCTGGGAGAGCAATATTCATGGGAGGATCATATAAAAAGAAGAACCCAGGCCTCATGCGTTTCAATGCAAGTTTCGGGGGCCTTCCAAATAGCTGATTTCCCTTGATTTCCTTGGACGCAAAACGCAGCAGCATCTTGGCGTACTCTGGCAGTCAGTGTCGCTTTGCGCCATCCAAATTATTCGATGAACTTCTCCGTGATTGGTTGGCCCAGCCCCCGAGGGTATGCCAATGTCCTGCCAGGAGACATCAGTTGTGCTCAGCTTCGCCTCCAAGAATAAGCACAACCACATGGACAGCTTGACCGTCCAGGAGGCTCCCACATCTCCCACGGCTTCGGCCATGCGTTGAAGTCAAACCACCTGCCATGTTTTTTTGGGGGGTTGATCGGGATGGCCGGATGGCCCGTTCCATCACCCAGCCATGTTGTGAGTGCCAAAGGGTTGATGGGAACGTGGAGTTTTGGCCGCGGCACATTGGGGCTGGAGTTTGAGCCGCAAGGTCGAGGGGGAATGAACCGTGTGACCAATCAAGACAGTTCCTTGGTCCATCTTTGCCGTGAAAGCATTTCGGTGTTTCAAGAATGAGACAGTGAATGCCCGGTTTCCTTTTGGTTTCCTTTTGGGTGTCCTCATACACCATTCCGAAGGCATCCCACTTTTTTGGAACCCCCCATATTTCTGTTGCTTTTTACTTGTCCTACTGTAGGCACTCCGAATCGGGTAGTTGCTCTCTGCTTTGGGGTAGACTGAGGTTGGAGGAGCGCTCGGTCCGGACTAACTTCAAAGCGGACACATTGTTGGAGGTTTCTTGGGAGAGACTCGTGCGAGGATTCCTCTGGAAATGGGACCTGAGAAAAAAAGCTCAGAGGCTACGAGCGGATCCAGCTCCTTTCTTTGTTCGCACACAGACCCGACGAACCGAGGTGCAGAAGCTTTGGGAACTGGCGCCGGACATCCAGGCAACGTCAACTCGGCCTCTCGTCCGTGCCAGCTCATGGCCTCACTAGGCAACGCACCATCTCATGTCTCAAGGGCGCCTCTACAAATTGGCACTGGTATCACTATTTCTGGAACCTTCCCAGGGCTTGAGCCGTCGATTTGTCGCTTCGCCTTCCGTTTTTCTGCGAGGCGCAATTCAAGGAGTGCGAGGCAAAGCTGGAGGAGGACAATGATCCCCGAGGGGGCGCCTGACCAAACAAACCGCGAGGGTAGACCTGGCTCTGTGGCTCTTTTTGAGGGTGCCCCCTTTGTTGCGTGGTTTTAACGGGAGCAAAAGGAAAACCACAGTTGTTGGGGTCCCCATAACAAAAACAACTGGTGGCTGCGCCAACTTTTATTTTCCTTTTCCCAGGGCTCCAATCTTCTATGTGCCAAGGTCTTAGCATCCCTGACTCCGCTTTCTGGGGTTGGCAAAACGGGTATTTGGATCTATTCCATTTCCGAGCTTGGCGATTTGAGGGATTGCTTTCAACACCACGTTGGCTGAGACAACGAGTGGCCCGGAGCTTTGGGATCTCGGTTCGGTTCGCCGCCCATCGAGGCCGAGGCGGATTTGCCGAAGCGTCAGGAGACGGAGCTGAATGTGCAGCGCGCCCATGTTTGCAAGTGAGCCGCGTGTTTCACCTGGCTGATTGACCATGTGGAACTCGCCAAAGTGCCGACTCATTGGGCAGGGGGCAAAACATTGAGAATTTGGGCCCATTGGGACTGTCTCAGTTGGAGCCGTTCAGAGCGAGCTACGCAGACAGAGTCCGTGAGTTTTCCTCGGCAGGATTCAGCTTGAGTTTGCCGTCCGATTTCACTTATGTGGACAGGGGAATGAGACTGATAACTGGGCAAACCTTCTTGAGTGGAGCATTCGGCTTCCAGAATCACTTCATACCGTACAGAGTCACAACATCCAAATTGTTGCAGCGAAAGATACGCTCACATGCGCCCAACCGGACGCGTGAGGGCGAGAGGGCGAGAGAGCAAGAGAGCGAGAGAGCGAGAGAGAGAGAGAGAGAGAGACAGAGAGCAAGACAACGTAGTGGACAGCAAGTCCGTTTTGTTTTGGTATGCTTTTGCATGCTTCTTGATCTGCAAAGGCCGATATGTGCGTACACACATCATATCAGTAGCATGTCCATTATGTTGTGTTGATTGCGGTCCTGAACCGAAAAATGTCACCGTTTTGTGTGGCGCGAGAGGCGGTTCGGTTCGAGCTCGGCTCTTTCGCACAATGTTTGCCGAGCACCTGGCTGAGTGCCGGGCGCGCGGCTCAGTTGGCGGTTTTCGCTGGCGGTGCCTTGCACTCGAGTTGGGCAGTGGACCATTTTGTGCGGTCCATTGCATTATGGTGGCGTTTGGAGATTTTTGGGGCTTTCTGAGGTTTTGGTAGCCATGGCGCGAAAATTCAGACGACCATGGACAGAGTCCGGCCTCTTGCTGCTTTGTTTGAATGAGTTTGAACGGGGAGCAAGCAATCCTAGGCGCAAGTTTGCCACGAGTCCCTTTCAAACGCAAGCCATGGCCCCTGGCTACCCACTCCAAGCCAACAGACAAACTCAGCTGGAAATGTGTCAAAAAGAAACCGGCCGTTAGCTCTTCGGGTAGGGGACCCCACAAATGGACCCCTCGAACTCAATTTAGGGGAGACCCATGCTGCTCTGTTGAACCAGAGCAAATTACCTTAAACCTCTCCCGAACAACCCAATCTCCATTGCGATATGTCCCTTTGGACCCCATCAAACAGCTTGTTTTGGTCCAAACCCAACTTCTATTGCGATATTGCCCTTTCGGCCCCATCCAAACAGCTTTTTTTTGTCCCAACCCAACTTCCATTGCAACATTTCCCTTTTGAGTTCATCCAACAACTAGGTTTGTGCCCCAATCCAATCTCCATTTTGAGAATAGCGCCCTTTGACCTCCATCCAACAAGTTTTTTGAGTCCCAACCCAATCTCCATTGTGATAATGTTGCCCTTCAACTCCATCCAAAAGGTTTCAGAAAGGCTCGTTGTGGGGCCTGCGGTTTTCCAAAACCACAATTACAAACAACATGCCAGACCCCATAGCCTACATGCTTAAGATGTCAATCAAATGTTCAAACTGCATTGGAACGGAATTCCTGTCTAAATTCTAAATGATCATGGTACTTCTAATATACTTTTTCCTTGTTTGTTGCAGCCCATGTCAATTCCAACCGGATCTTAATTAAACACATAACTGGAAAGGAGATTCCATTTAACCTCTAGTGTAAGAAAGACACGATTTCATTGGTTTTAAAGACCCAGGCCCCGCGCCGACCCACTCTCAAAGTTTTTTGTTGCTCCAACCGAACTTCCGTTCCGATATGTGCCTTTCACCCCATTCAACAAGTTTTGTTGCAACACAACTTAATTTCGATATTGCCATTTTGACCCCATCCAAGAAGTATTTTTGTGCCCCAACCCAATCTCCATTGCGATAGTGGCTCCCTTCGACCCCCATCCAGAAAGTATTTTTGTGTCCCAACCCAACTTCCATTGCGATACTTCCCTTTCGACCCCACCCAAATAGCTTTTTTGTGTCCCAGCCCAACCTCCTGAGATATTTTCATTTCGGCCCCCCCAAACAGCGCTTTTGTGGCGCAACCCAACTTCCATTGCAATATTTTCCATTCGACCTCATCACTGCTTGGACTTCAGGCTCTGCAAGAAGGCAACCGGCGTTTTGTGGGGCTCCATGCAAATTCTGCAAGCTGAGAAACAGAGTTTCCCCAAAGGTTGAAAGTCAACGGTTCGACCAAGCCTCCAAATCATGATAGCTCCAAGTCACCTGATGGAGTCCTTCGGTCCAAAATGAGTAAGCGGATCAATGCCTGTGGACCCCATCCAAGCCGCCTTTTTTTGTGTCCCAACCCAACTTCCATTGCGTTTTTGGGTCCCCCCGCTTCGCCCCTCCAACCTTCGCGACCCGTCTGCCAGCGCCTTCCCACAGATTGTTAAAATGGTCGAAAGCAGGTAGTTGAGCCCCAACAAAAACCGATGGAACCCCCTCCGAACCGGAGACCCACCCCAAGCCCTGTGCCAAAAAAGCCTCCGTTGCCTCGCCAGTTGCTGCGCTCGGACTCGTTTTGGAGGCCTTGGCGGAGCAGGCCTCCGAGGAGCTCCAGCGCTTAAGAAGCGCCAGGGGCTCGGAGCCGTGCAAGGGGGGGGGTGGGGATGGTGGGGGGTGGCGGGGGTGGTGGGGTGGTGGGGTGGTGGGGGATGGTGGGGGGGTGGGGTGGGGTGGTGGTGGGACGTGTTGGGATTTGGTGAAGGGAAAACGCGCCGAGAAGGGAGGGGTTGGGGGTGGTCCCGGTGGGAAATGGGGGAAGGTGGCGAAGGCAAATCGAAGAAGCAGAAAATACACCAACAGCACATTGTTTTGAGAACAGTGGAGTGATCCTTCTCCCTAATAATGGGTACTCCCCCACTCAACGGATATTCGCCTGGGTGCAGAACCATGTTTATTAATTTGGTACATTGTTGCACCAGGGGGGTTCCTCTATGGTCCTTGTCCACATGGGGTCCCCCCCTTTCCCGGCCCTAACATCGTTTAACATGGCAGTTTCCGAGTCAAGGAATCTAGACAGCAGACATCTATGTGATTTTGACTTGTGCTGGTTTCAACCTGGTTTACTGATTTGGTATCGGTTTAGAACTGGTTCAATATTGGTTCTAAAGTGTCCCCCCAATACGGCTGGAGTTGGCCGGGCAATTTGCTGCTCTAGAATGTTTGCGTTTCTGAATAGGGAAGCAGCTTCTGCTGGTGTTTATTGAAAGAGAATATTGGACGTCCTAGCGCAACTAAATTTCGTGACATTTGCTTGCCTCCTTCAACCAGCTGCCGAGCAGTCAACAGGGCCGCTGTATATTTTGTTGCAAGTTCCTTCAGCGGACACCAAATTCACCAGTTCAAATTTGCGCAGACTTGTGTGAGTACCTCGCAGTCGGGACCTGGTATTCTTCTCGCAGAGCTCGAGTGCTCCCAAATTTCAGCACCAGGCGTTTTATGAGTGAGGCTGATGGTGTGAAGACTTCGTCCTTCTTGTCAACGAAGGCAAACAAACACCCGGAGATGCAACAGGGACTGGCTAGAATATCTTTTCCAGGCTGAAAACAAACATCCTGGAGTCGCCTTCTCTCTGCGGGGTAGAATGAGATGTGCAAACATCATGAGTAATGCCGTCGCCCTGTCGAGTAGGTATTTTTGGGGCCGCGCCAAAAAGGCTCCAAATGCAATACGAATGCAGAGCCGTCAAAATCTCTCAGAGGCATGGAGGCTGTCCAGACCAAACCGTTGATGCCCTGTGAACCCTGACCCTCACGCCAGAGATGTGCAAGTCGAGCCGAACTGTCCCCAATTGGCTGGAAAATCAGGGAATAATCGAGCGGGGATGGACCGTAGGTATTTGCAGAACGCAATGGTCGAGTGTGTGACATCAAAGTGTTTCTGCAAGTATTCTTGCACGGAACCCGGTCATGGACCCTTCGCAGGAAAAGAAGTAGGATTTCTAAATCAGTTTTCTATTTGGCGGACCACTACGGCGCGCGCAAGCCTGCATGCACCCGCACGCACCCGCACGCACCCGCACGCACCCGCAGCATGCAAGCACGCCCGCACCCGCCGGCACCCGCACGCACCCGCACGCACCCACATGCACCCGCGCGCACCCGCACGCACCCGCACGTACCTGCACGCACCCACACGCGAATGCAGGCACGCTTTGCACGTTCACATCTACGCACGCACACAAACACACACACACACACAGACAGACAGAAGCACAAGCACAAACACAAACAAAAACACAAACACCAAAATGAATTCCAAGCACAAACGCGAAGGCAAAGGTAAACACAAGCACGAACACAATTACAAGCACCAACACAACAACACGAACAACAACACCAACACGAACACAAACACAAACACAAACGCAAACACAAACACAAGCACCAGCACTCATGCACACAACCACAACGCGGCAACAGACACAACCACAGCATTCACAACCACAACCGCAACCACAAGCGGACAGACACACACACACACAAACACAAACCCAAACGCAAACGCAAAGGCAAACACAAACACAAAGCCAAACACAAGCACAAGCACAAACACGAGCACAACCACATTTGTTCATAAGCCAGACAAGAACCAGATAAACACGATGGGCACACAGCATGTCTATTGTTGGTTTGGGATCCCCTCGTTGCCCCGTGTTCTCTTGGGGCACAACAAGGCTCCGCACATTTTGAGACGAAACAAGCTCTCAGACTGACTCAGCGAATGGCTGTGTGTTCAAACCATGCACCCCCGCAAATCCATGTTGAAAGGCAGCATGGCAGCGTTGCGTTGTTTTCGGGATGGCCTACGTCGAAGTTCCGAGCGCTGAGGCACCTGATCCAGAGAGGCCCGGCCACAGCGCGGCTGCCTTTAGCCTGCTGAAGCAGGCAGATTGAAAAAAACATGTCTTGTGACTCGAGTGTCCTTGGGCGACATTACTGATAGCTCGCAAAGCACGGAATGCCGGCAGTGTCCAGAAAGGAGTTACAAGCGGAGCCCACTCTTTGTGTTTTTGCTCGGGAGGGAGTTTTTGGAATGGGACCGACCCTTGCAGAGTGCCTTTTTCACCCTTTGCCGTATGATTTCCTTGGCGGCACAATTGAGTCCCTCGATTCCCGCGCGTCGGTTGGAAGAAGGTGTTCCTCCAGCTTTCTTCCGCGCCAACGGGTGTGTTAGCTCCTTGTTCTGCTTTGAAAGTCCTCAAGAAAGTATGAGCATTTGTGAGATGCTTCCTTGTTCCCTGGTTCATGCTGGATTTGTATGGATTTGTCATCTCAGAGACTGAGGTAGTTTAGTTCATTGTCATCAGCTGCCTGATCCAGCATATCCGCCACGGCTGCTCTTTTTGCATTTGACATTTTTTTTCTCTCTGGGGAACCCCGCGCCAGGCTCCAGCAATACCCATGAAAATAATGAAACTCGGACCAGCCTTAAACCCCACAACTCCCCTT